ACGGGGTTTCTTCGAGCTTTTTAATTACTTCTGGCCCGCGAGCAGATCGACGGACGAGCAATCTCGATTTTGTAGGTATTTCATCGGAGGATATCCGATCGAGTTCGCGCCCAGACATGATTGCCATGCTCGGCCACTCTAATTGCTTCGCTTTCGGAGCGTCGTTTCGAACCCGTTCCTCGGACATAATTATGACCCAGGACCGCTCGTAAATTCTCGCCAAACGACCGGGAGACGTACAGCAGCCGCGCGGGGATGCGAGCTTTTTCGTAATTTCGTCGATCAACTGCGGCACGCCGCCTCGGCGTTCATTTATTAACCGCATTACGTTAATGGACCATCGATCGACTCGCCGTGTTTCGCATACTGTCTCGCGGTCCCCTCGTCCCCAATCGCTTTTTTTCACCGTGTTCGTTCTGGAAATTTAAGCTTTATTCGGATATCTCCGATATCGATTATCGACGCTGCTCGGGGCAGATTAACGAGCCTCTCGTTCGATTCACTACGTCTGTCGCTCGTTTTCCTAAACCTGGAACGACGTCTCGGAATCGGATCTCCAGTTCTACGAACAGCATAACGTAGTTCGACGAATGCTTCCCTTATGCATGCATCAATTCAAAGAAACGTCTCTAGCCTCTACGACGGAACTCATCGATCGCATTTACCCTCAACCCTCGTATTTATACCAGTTATACTCTCTTGACTACCGGAGAACGTCGAATCTCTCGTTACTAGCTCCGATTCGTGGCTTCGATTGACGAGAGTCGGAAGGGCTTATCGCGCCAAGTTTATTAGTCGAACGGCGAACCGGTGAATCGAAATTAGACGCCGCGACCGAAGGAAAGGGAGAAACAGTCTTGAAAAGGTCGGAACGGGGCCGTCGTTACCCGGACTCTCGATGATTTCCATAATCAGAACATAAATTGTAGCGATAACGACGCCATGGGTCGATCGAACAGCGCACATGAGTCGTCGCGGCCCCAGTATTTTCACGGGTATGTAGATATACACGTAGGCTCCGCGGGTCTCCCCGCAACGTGTAATTTTCGATATCCCGGGGAAAATCACGTCCCGTCCTCGGTAATATCGCGGACGCATGCGAGAAGGAGAGAGAACGTCGCGGGGTTTCTTGCCCGCGTCTCTGTATACCTGTGTCAATATTTCCTCGGCCGTTTACCTGCACCGACAGCCTTATTCGAATCGCGTTTCCCTTCGTTCGTTTGCGCAGCACGTTACGTGCCTCGACTGTGTCGCTCCCTTAATTGCATGCCGACACCTACACCCGGCCTCATAATTATTTATTAGCGAAATATTTCAACTTTCATACTTTTTAAACTTTTTCAGAACCTTTTCCGTCCGCTTTAGAGAAATGTGTGTGGAAAATTTGTTTCGAGCGCTTTACGAACGGACCCGCTCCAAAGTGGAGCAATCGAATCACTCGGTTTCAGTAGCAGGTTTCGCGTTCTTAAAATACGTACGCTTTGGAGATGCTCGATTTCATATTACACATGAATCGTCGTGAATCTTCGCCAGAAGACGGTCGAGCACCGATATACGATACCGTCGCCGTCAGCAATTTCGATATGGAAGCTTCGTACGTTTCTCAGAGAACTCCTTTTGCCCTCCGTCCCGTCCCGTGCAAACCCGTATCGACGAGAAACGTAGAGACAAATAGACGAGCAAATACACGGGAAAACACTAATTGAGACACGCAGTTGTAACACGCAGAGTACTCGTCGCAAGTTTACGACTGGAAGAACCATTTTCCTTTGCAAGTTTCGCGCAATCTCCAAGAAGTACGCGTCGCGCTGGGTCATCGATTAGGGAATGGTTTCGTGCACGTCGGGTTTCTAGGAAAATTTGTCCTAAAATTAAACGATAAGTCCTGTGACGCGTAGCCACTGGAAAGTTTTGACCGTCGCCACTCCGAAATATCGATCTCGCTGGAAATCGACGTTGCTAGACGATTCCGAGAAGTATAGGTAGGAACGACTGCGTCATCGTTTATCAGGGAGAATGCGAACGGGGACAGAGGCAAGAGGGGAGGGGCTCGCGGGAAAATTCTAGCCGTTGTATTCGCGAGAATCTACGCTCCATTATATCGTTGACGCTTCAGAAGCCGTCCTCCGAATCGCTATCGAGCGACGTGTAAACAACGCGGTCATTTCCCGTGGTCCCCGCCCCGTTCTCGGGAACAATTTGCGCCCGAGAGCGATTCGTGCCTGGAAAAATGGAAATTACCGAGCTCCACCGTCCGTGAGAGCGAGGCTCGCTTTGTTCACTCCTCGCGCCGGAGAAACGAATCTCTCTCGCTATTTCTATTCACGGCATGAATTTCTAACCTGTTCTCGTTCGGAGGAATCGACGATTCGCCCGGCAAATCAACTGCGAGCGGGTCTTTTCCCTGTTTGTCTTTCTTTCGCATTCCCTCGAGTCAATTTTCCGTGGAACTTTTTTTTTTCACGGTATATCTTGCCTGCCGGTCGTCGACCTCGCTCGGGACGAACGTCGATGAATCGACGGAGATGGTAATTTCATTCGACCGGTCCGGGGATCGAGGGTGAAACACGGCCGGTTATTAAAATCGTCGCGAACATCTGATATCGAACGATGCGCACCTCGTCCCAACGCATCGGTCCGCGAGTCGATAAAATTCCACCGACCTTTCGATTGAGTAAAACTCGGGTAAACTTCGTAGCGTCGACGAATTTACATTTGTTCCGAGCCCCGATCAACAGTTAATGGTCCGCATTTGTTTCATGCTGCTCCCCGACGGCCTTCCCTTAATCGCCTGTGTACCACCGAGAATTAATTACATACCGACACGTCGATCTCTTTCGTTGCTCGGTCAACGATGCGGCGTAATGGGTATCGTGTTCCAAGGAAAATTAATCGATGGGAATTAATGAACTCGGACTATGCGATTACACACTTCCTAGAGGACGTGAATTCGCGTTCGATTTTTTCTGTCACGCGAAGCGAATTAAAAAAAAACGTGTAAACCCTTTTAACGCCGTGTTTCGCTTCATGAAAAATGTACTGGCGTCCCAATTTTCCTCTCGGAACCACCGCTCGTTCAATAATCGCGCAAATGGTGGCTAGATAAATTAGTGGCGAAAGAAACACTGGTCCGCTCCAATTTTCTTCCGTCTCCACTTCTTGCCAACGCTATCTCGCCCGTTGTTTGCGTAGGTAGCCGACTTAATGATAACGCCAATTATCGCCGCGAAATTCTGTGCCCCGTTCAAGAAAAAGAAGTAAGAATATTCCGGGAAAATGTGCGGCTTTCCACTCGCCGGAATGAGTCTTAATGACGTCCACTTTGTTACCAGAGGCGCATGCCACTGTGCTCTGAGAAAAACTTGAAGAAAGCAGATAGATACACGCGACCCGCAGTTTCAACGATTTTACAGGACCGTCACGGTGAGGAAAAAAGAAATCGTACAGCCTTGTAACACATCTACTTTCCGACGTTCTCGTCGAGCTTCGGTAAACATTTCACCTCGTCAACTTTTCGTTCCATGAAAAACTGCATGTAATTACGACAATCGCGATTGCTTAGCGTTAGAAATAAACTGACTAGACCAATTGGAATGATCGGTTACCGAAAGTACAATCGATCTAATGTTATGATTAATTAAATTAAAGAACGCACTCGCCCGCGTGTTCTACGCGTCGTGTAATTAAGTCCGCGAGACTATGCAAGTTTCTCAATTATGAGAAAAACGTAGGAAGGAAAGGTCGCGTTTGTACTTTGAACTTCGTATATTGTACGATGACGATGAACTTTCCAGGAAGACGCGTGTGTCGCCGTGGTGGAAACGCGTGGCGGGTGGAAATTGTCGTATCGTAGCAGTTGCGTAGTTAGTCGTACCGTGGAACCGTGACAGCGGCTCGCTTTTTCCCCTAATCGGTTCCGCGAACAGAAAAGTGGAAGATTACCCACCGCGAAATCGATGCGAGGCCCTGTCTAATCGCCGTATCCTGCCCGGCCGATCCGCAATTTGCGGGGGAGTAGTCGACTCTCTCGTGGCAGAAAAAATAGCTCGAAGCCTGATATCTAGACCGTGACGAACGTCCCTCGACTTTTGTGCGAGCAAACTTTCTCGGCTGAAAAATATTAGCGTCGTTTGTTGGCGGACCGACGCTGTCTCTCCGTCTTCTGATCGTCCAAAGAGGTTCTCTCCGAAGCGTAAAGACTCGCATAAGAGACGTCGATGGTTTGCTCACGAGAGGCGGACGGAAGACAAAGGTAATTCGGCGCTCGTAATATGCGTGTAGCTTTTGTTGAACGCAAATAGAGGTTTCTCGGAAGAGAGGTGGACGAGTCGAAAGGCAAACGAAAGGGGAACGTTCCGGGACAGGGAATGGGGCGCGGCTCGGAAGAACAGGAGGCTGGGTCCGCCACCCTTTCTTTCCGCGAATTCGCGAATGTGAAATACCGCGCCGAGTCGCTTCTTCGATGCGCGAACATCTTTCCTTCGACAAAAGGAAATTCTTTGTCTTCAGAAATAAATCTGAAAGATTCGCGTCTCACAGGAGTAAACATCTTCACTACCACTGATCAATAATAATTTGTTATTCAGAGCGAGACAGTAAGAAATATCCGGACATTGATATAATTCATTTCTCAGAATAGAATAGAAGAATTAAATTCATTTAAAGATCTCCTATCCTAAATATATCTAAATACGTTCGATAGAATCGTTGAATAACAAATTACTTGTACGATTGAATTCTGGTTGACAACCAGAACACGATTCAATCTGAAAATGAAATATTAACGTAGCCATTAAGTAAACGAGATGTCAGAAAAGTACTGTTTTATTACGATATTGTCACTAAAATGACTACAGCATGAGTTCTCGAACCATTTTTTATGACACCCTGGGTCCAGGGCTTGTCTACCTGTTATTCGATTGCAGTTTCGGTTGTTGAATTTTAAGAATTAAAGCGAGAGACGGACAAAGTAACAGAAGTGATGGCGTTGGTCGTTACAGGTACAAGGACAACAGGGCTTATCCTTGGCCAGGTGGCGAGAGTCACTTCATCCTGTATCCGGAGAGCGCGAACCAAACAATTTACGCGCAGAAGGTGAGAGCCTCGGACGGTGGACGATATTCCTGTCGAGCGAGGAACGACACGACCATCCTCGAAGGAGATATCACTCTGGACGTCCTCGGTAAGTACGCGCCTCCCCTCGCTTTTTCCTCGTCACTGTCCAATGTGCAATCAGCATCATATGAAATACTTTGACGTATTCATATTGAATTTCCTATTCTTATCTACCCAGTGTCTCTGGCACGTTGAATCGATACAGCGTTAAGGAACGAAACGACGTGATTAGAGACTCGTGGTATCTTTCATTCGGAGCGACACGATACCGCAGAAACGTGATTACTAGTAAGATTAACGAATTGCGAGATAAACTTTTCTGAGAAAGCACGTCTGTTCGAGACGGCGTGTCAAATTGATTTTAGGAACGAGAGAGAACCACAGTTATTAATTGCATGTTCCGTAAATCGGTTTCGGCGATGAATATGCGCCCGTGAAAGTGAAAGTTCAGAGTTTAACTCGTCGTCGTGACTAGTTTTGACGTAAGAGAAAATTGGTTTCGTTCTCGCATATTCACGTTGATCGACCCCATCGCCTTTTCTCTGTGGTACAGAGATGATTTACATCCGCGTAACGAAGGCAACACCGATCGTGGCCGGCGAGGAGGACGCGTGAAAGCCCGATCGATGCGTCACGTGCAACAGCTACGTAAAGTTCGCGTAGGTGGTAGTTCCGAGAGCCGCGAATCGATTCTTTTTCTGGGAAATTAAGCCGTCCGAGGGCGGCGAGAAATCCGAGCGTATGTATGCGACGAGGCGACGCGCGCGTACGTACAATTGCTAGTTATCGCGGAGTGCACGCTTGTGTGTAGAGATAACGCGGCGCGAAAGCACGCGTACGGGCTATCTCCTCGCTTCAGTTTCGAGGAATCTCGATTAGATGCTTTCCTCGAACGAATTTCCGTCGCGCGACTATCACTCCCACCTTTACTATAGGTTCTAGAGTTCTTCGGAGCGAGGCGTAATTGCAGTTTCACGTTTCATGCTAAATTTCTTGCCAGATCCGTTTAGAGCTCGTATCAGCCGCGTTCCTCTTTCACCCAAAGGGACGGCCCGTTTCTTATCAGCTAATGCTCGTGGTTGATCCAACGCGATTGCTTCTTAAACGAGCGTTGCTCGGAATCGCCGAGTCAGAGTTACGACTTTGATCCATTTACATAAAATTGGAGCTCGCATAAACAATGCGGTCTCTCCTCGGAGTCCATATTACGTCGTAAAAAAAAAAAAACGAGGGCTGCTCTCGGAGGATAGATAAATAAATCCCATCGGGGCTACGGCACCCGGCCATCGGCTTTTTCGTAATACGGATTCGAGGGTTTATGGACGCAACCATGGAAAACAGCGAACGCAAACTCTTCCGACCGCAGTTGATCGTAAATCGAACGGGAAATCACGAACGAACATTTTTATAACCCCGGGGAAGTGTGCATACACGGCCATTATCATAATTGACCCAATGAGAATGAATTCTAGTGAAACGTAGTGCTCCAACAAAATTGGCCGACTTTACTCTGTTCTTATAGAGGCACGGCACGTGTAGCCTGATTTCGAGTTCGACTTGCTCTGCTCGGTTTCATACATATAAGTTTGATATCATGCGTGGGGCATGACTCGACGTAATTAATTAATATCAAGAAATACACAGAACTTTCTTGTAACAGACACGTAGTCTGACGTACAATAAATACATTGTTATCATATTTATATAATATATCGAAGTCGTAAGAGACAACTACACAGCGTCACATACTAAACATCAGACCAGGCAATTAGGCAGCAAGACAGATTCGAAATTGGTGCAAGGCTCTCTCGCGCGTTCTGACATTACGTCGAACTACAGGGAACGGAATTACAAATCGATTGGAGCGGCGTTCGATCTAGTGCGAAGCTGGTGAGTTCGTACTAAGAAGAGGAAATGAATTTCCTAGCGAGGAACCAACAAGTTGAAACTCGGCCCGTAGTATAAATATGCATAGGTACAGCGTTTAGCGTCGGCGAGCAAAGTGGGGGAGAAATTATGAGGCAATACCTCAGGGCTAAGTGCACCACCGAGTGGTTGCTTGGCGCGTACATTAAGTAAATGCGTATGATCTCGCGAGAGAGAGAGAGAGAGAGAGAGAGAGAGAGAGAGAGAGAGAGAGAGAGAGAGAGGAGGCCGTGTTCTCGATGATGCTCTGCCATTAATGCAATTAGCCAGTGCACCGTGCGGTATCTCCCTTGGGTTGGCTATTTCTGCGTCGAAGCTTCCACTCTGGCTGTCTGCGTTTCCTTCCTTAACCTTCCGTGCATCTATCAATCTCGCGTTCTCAAGTAGGTAGCAGTATTGCGAAAAGCGGCACTCCGCTCGTTCGAACAAAACTAGTCTGTATCCGATTAACTGTCTAATTGTAATTCCTGTCGGTCCACTCAGAGGAACGCTTAAGCTGTTATTGAATCGAGGAAAGTTATGAATGTACCTATTGCGAAAAGGTGTATTACTTCACTCGTTCGAGAACTTTGACCAGTTCCCGATTGACCATCGAGTCGTAATCCCTGTTAGTCGTACTTGGAGAACTCCACTCAGGCGAATTCTTAAGCTCTTATTAAATCAAGGGAAGTTATGAACGTTTTTTGTATTATACGAACGACTGAGTCACGTGCGTCATTAAAATCTCATATTATACCTCGTTTCAAGAATTACCACGATTCAGAGGTAGATAAATTACTGAATCATGATGGGTTCCTTTTTATCGAAGTCGTTTCCAGATATAAATTTGCTGCTATTCTTAAGAATAGGAAAAGATACGCGCAGCCACCTACTCCTATGGCCGCGATTGTTCTTGCAACGCTTATCTGTATTTACAGCGTGAACCCACGTAGGAAGCGGGTTAATGCTGCCTTATCGGACGACCAAGCGTATCCGGAAATGCATATGCATGCCCATGAACACCCGGGATTATCTCAGCAGCTGGATCACTTCCCTATACGCGTTGAAAGCTTACGCGCCGCTATTCGGGAGCTACGGTCGTTTCCTGTTCGCGGTAGCGGAACCGATCGCGATAAATACAGTTTGTATCGAACGAATAAGGAAGTTGGAAAGCAAATTTGATCAGAGACAAGTCGATGTGTTTAATTCGAACGTGAGAGAAATGAAAGAGATAGAACGTCGCGGTGCCGCGCCAATCGACTGACCGATCCGGTCACGGCAGTGAGAGACGATGCCCTGGCGCGAATTAATCAATTGAACTAACTTAGAAACGTCGCACGAAACTGTTAGTCACTTCTGAACAGCCTCGTGTCTCCTAAATAACGTCTGCCGTTTCCGAGAGAAACAATTTTCACGTCATTTACCTTCTCCTGCTTGATCGCGTATAGAAGTGTGTAGTCGAAGAGACGAGTAGATTATTTTTGTTTCATCCAATCGTCGAAATATAAGAAGTAAAGTCGAGCATCGCAATCCTGTTCCCGTCACGAGTACGACAGAACGCAGAAACTCGCGGGAGAAGCTGCAGTCATCCGGCGACAGCTAAACAGAAACCACGGTGGAACGTTTCTTCCGATTCGAGACGTTCCAGGAGACCTTTTCTCCGGTTGCTTATCCCCGGGCGAAATCCTCTTGCGCGTCGCGGAAGATAAAAAGAGCCCTTCGGAAAACGTTGAAACGATACCAGGCGACGGCAAATGCGAATGTCAACAAGGAGAGAGGAATAGCGCCCGCGTACGGAAATGCGTCTCGGGTGCTCGACACGATGTTCGTTCGCTCGCTCGTTCGTCGTTTGCCCGAAGAGGAAGAAGCAGATTTTCTCTATGCACGGGTGAAAAGTCTTCCTCGCAGTCGATCGGAAAGTTTGTCCGGCTCGCTCGTTTAACGACTTCTCGATCCCACCTCGTTCTCCCTAGGTGCGGTACCACCTCTCAACTGTCGAACAAAAGAACGAACAACTAAACTTTCCGGCAATAAAACTGTCCCACGGACCGTCTGCGAAACGGTAACCGCGTTTCGTTACGTCGTTCATCGTAACTTCTTGTTTCGCGCCCGTTCCGCCCGAAAGATCCAACGGCATTTCTTTCCTCTCCTCCAGGATTTGATCCGGGAATTGAAGTCACGAACTCATTAGATCGAACTACGTATTTTTCTTTATGTGTCTGAGCAACGGTGAACACGCTCCGCTTTGATCTCGGTATTGGATCGTTTACTTGATTAAATGCAAATTAGGTATTAGTCGGTCGAGAGGAGCGATACCCGACGTTTGTACCGCATAAGCTGCAGATGACATAATGCATATGCATGGCAAGAGGTCAATCGGCTGGTTTAACATAGTTCGAACGGTCGCGCACTTAGAGCGAACCGTGTAGCGCGGTAGTGATCGATAACATATTCTTGGAATCTCACAGTTAATCGGAACTGGTCGTCAAAGAATTTAAAAACTGGCCTACATTCGAACGAACCGGCATCGGTGACTCTTTGTGTGCGATGAGTCGCGGGAAATGAAGTTTCATAATTATTACCGCGAGAGCTGCTTCGGTCGAAGTCCGGAAATGAATTGCGAAGTGCAACGAAAGTCGCTTTAATACGTTGAACACGGACGCTACACAGGTGGCGTTCACTTTTTTCCTTTATCGAGTTATCTCTTCCGCTACGGATAAGACGCCAGCGTCTGAGACCGAAACGAGTAACCGCGAGCTACGTTCTTCTCGTATTTTATACGGGGACCGGGGCGCGTTAAGAGATTAAAACATGGAGCCTGAATAAAATATCGGAAGAAGTCGGTGTCCTCAAATATTTGATGAGGGATTCGTATGCTTTCAGGAGAGAAGTCCGGCGGATATACGGGGAAACCGCTGCCGACGTACAAGCCGGTCTCTCAATTGGTTCCCCTGGGAGGTGCAGCGAGATTGTTTTGCGAGGCGTACCTGGGAAAGGTCTACCTGCCGGACGCGAAAAATTCGGTCACCTGGTCGAAGAGTGACAGCAACGTCACGTTGCCGAACCACGGGAGGATCGCCCAGCATCAAGTGTCCAGGTGAGTTTGCTTCTATCCACGTACCATGTCAATTACTCGCAACTGGAGCCCTTCCTCGATCAACAGAATGCGAAATTCCTGAATCCAAATATGTATCTTGTTAATTCTCTTATCATAACGACGATATACCGGAGAATGGGAAACCTGCTGCCTTATTTATCTTTATACTAGGGTAGAAGACTAATTTACCTCCACCTATTTTTGTCTCTAAATTATTGTCTCTAAAATTATTTTGAACTTTGTGTGTTTGATTATGAAAATATTGTAAATTATCTAGTGACTCGAAAGATCGATGCTTTCCATTAATACAGAAAATGAATACAGCCTTTCGTATAAAAAATTTCCCATCTTTGGGACGTAGCATATATCGTCACAAAAGCGTGTGTGATTTGACATCGATAGAAACCATAAATTTTCGAACGATAAGGATTTTCCGTGTAATGGCTAAAACGGGATGGACAAACGACGAAACCATGTATCGCAGCGAGTCTGGTTACGTTTCGCGGACATTACATTTGCTGCGGGTGCGGTCACTAATTGGAGTACGGGGTTCGCGGTGCACAATTTTGGAATTTACCCGTGAGACACGCGCTCGACTCGAACACGGCGAGAGAGAGCATTTGCATACGCGAAAACCGCGCGATGACCCGTCCCTCGCCGCTGTTTATACAGACGATACTTTACCGGATTAATTTCATCGCTTTGCACGCTCATAATCTTGTGCAGCGGAGAGGGTTACACACACATAGACACACACACACACAGACTCTGGCTATTATGGCCCAGTACAGTCGCGGCGGTAGTTTCGCTTACGCTCAGAAAACGGGTCTCGACGAGAGAGCGTCGCGCCGCATCGGCGCAAAGTTTGCCATGATCGCGATTGTTACGGGACTATAGTTTCGTGCCTTTCAAATGGCGAAGCTGCGGCTCGGAAGCTAGCTGAATCCGTGTTTCCGACGATAATGACCATGGTTTCATTGTCTGTCTTTGCATGCCTCCGTTCAACCAACTCCTGAAAGTGGATACGCGTCTCGGATCAAAGGCAAATGCCTGCACCCCTCTGGCCTTAATTAGTAGTTCACCCTCCTGGCCCTTTCCACTCTTTTGATCTCAACCGATTACGAAATCATATTTGTTCGCTTGTTTGTGAACGATCGTACATATGTACCATCGGATTAAAACGCGGAGAATTGTCTGTTCTGGCTAATCGTAAATTCGCTGCAAATGAGGTTACGCAAACGCGTTCCGAGAACGAGCTTTCACTCGCGACGAAACGCATGGACGCGCGAACGAAAAAAGAGTGATTTCTCACGAGACGAGACTCGCGGAACGAACGACCGGATTCAAGCCACGTAGCACGTTTCTCGTAGACAATCGTGCAATTAGGGTTTCGTCGATCGTCCGGCGAGAGAACAAGGATCGCGCGAGATTTCAGGGCGGAATCGTCTATCGGGGACGAGCGGTTGATTCCGCGAACGTACCTTCAGGGTCGCCGAGATCGCGACGCGGAGCGATTAGCCTTTTTGCGGCCGGAGAGAGCCACTCGGAGCATTACAGGCGTAATAACGCCGTGACTGGGACAAGCCCCGGACTCGGAGTCCAGCTGGGACTCGGCGAACACGAAATCCGTTCTTCCACGGACCGATCCGAACGAGACGAACGAACGGTGGTCGACCAAGGAAGACGGAGAGAGAGAACGCTGGCAAGAAGTTCCAAGGAATTTCACTTCCTCCCCTTCTATCCGTCCGCACCGGAGCTCCGTCATTACGCTAATGATAGCCTGGTCTCTGTTACCTCTGTGAATCGGCTCCTTTTTCGTGCGCGTTGTCCCTCTTCGCCGCGGCAACGCCGATTCTCCTTGTCCGCCGTTGTCAGTGGATAAGTCTCTCTCGAAACTCGACCACCGGCCGCAACGAGAAGTGGAAGAATGCCGGACTCTGGTGAACCTTCGCTTCCCCGTGAAACTGCTTCTTCCAATGCTTCATTGACCTGCAGGATTCCGATATGCGATTTCAGAATCAGATCGACGACGTTCGATTTTGACTCTTGAAATTACAGAAATCCGGAAACGCCGGCTAAAATCGCGGTAATACTGCCTGGACGTCGTCGTCAGAGAATCGTCTGTTCACAATTTCACTGCTCGTTTACTTGCCAACGCGGCGTGTATAATTTGACCCCGAAGCATAACGCGAGTCGGCCTGGGATTCGTTGAGTGCAAAATAATTGAAGAGGCGGACATAGTAAACCAGAGGAACTGGAGCATCTTACGGCAGGGTCCGCGAACGGAAGAGAAGAGGAACTGGTCGGAACGAGGAGTGCGTACTTTTCTCAGTCGTTTTGTCGCCGAGCTCTCGATCATCGTGGCGAGATAGCCCAGGCATGGGTGGTCCTCGTTCCCGTTCGTGGCTTCTCATATTCTACGCGTCGCTGCTCCTCGGTCAGGATTAAACGAGATCGAGTCGATACCTGCGAACCGAGCTCACGAGCCAGAGCCTCCAATTTATATTCCATTCGGTTTTAATCGAGCTTCCATTATATGTGCCCAGGGTCTCGCTTAACGCGAGACAGGAATCGGCAGAATCCGTTTTTCATACGAATCTAGTCCGCCGCTGTACGTACGCGATCCTGCTCTACGACTTCCTAAAATATACTGTTCAGAACCGTTTGTAAAAATGATCTATTTTCAAAACCGATTAAATATGCAACATTCTAATGAATAACGTTTATCTCAATGCAATTTACATTGTATTTTTGTCATCCTATCAATAAAAGAACGATTGAAAAGAATTTAGCATAACGACTAGATAGATACTCCTATATTATAAAAATATTGCACGGTTATATTAATTGTCGTGGAACGGAGAATCGGATACTCGGCTAGGAGTTGATCTCCCGTAACGCGTTTAGCGTGAAGGCGAGTGATCGATGAGTCGAATTAGCAGGTGTAACGAACAGATTTGTGCCCGGATCGGGAACGATTCAGGCTCGTAAATCTTAAGTGACCGGTTACTCGGGGACTAATAGAGACGAATTGCACGCGGTCTCTCGTGGCTCTCGCGTAGATCTATTAACGTTGATTGCATTCGAATGCAAATTCGCGATGGAAACGCTCGACTAGTTCCTTACTCACGCTCGCCTCGGGGAGAGTTCATGAGGTCGTTTCGGCTTCGATTACCGAAATCAACTCGGAGGACGAGCGACGATTATTAAAAAAGAGAGAGAGATATCGGCGACGAACGGATTAGAGAATTCGTTTCTGGTAACGAGAGGGGAGAGATCGGCCGAGTACGGTATATCGAACGAGTTGGATAAACAGTCGGTGTACAAGGAAAAACGGAAGCCGAAACACTGGGATAAAAAGATCGGTCGAGTGGACTCGAAAGGGGCCAGAGGGAAATAGAATGGAAACGTGACAAAAAGAGGACACTGGGGGAAAAAGAGGGAGGGAGATGGTGAGCGGTGAAATATTGAAAAGTGCCGGGAAGGAATAAGAGCAAAAGGATTATCGGAGATGGAGAGAAGCCGATGGATCGAACAGAGAGCGGGGGTGGAGAGCAAGAAGAGGCGACGGTGGACATCGGTGAGGGAAAGAATGGGGTAAAAACGGTATTCGATGGAACCCGGACACTGGCGGTGGAGTCACGACGTCGTCGAACCCCCGGTTCGAGATATCGTCGGTGAATGCGATGCAATTATCGGAGGGATTCCGATCCACTTTTCCGCGATGCATTAATTGTAACGTCGTTCCCGAAGGCGAGGCGAGACCGGGTCAGGCCCGGGCCTGGCGAAACGCGCGGGTATAGGTAAATGCTTTCAGCCGGGTCTCGCGTCCGAGGGCTGAAATACGCGACGAGCATCCGGTGAACGGGAGAGGGGAGTCAACGGAGGTTGTGCCAGAAATGCCCCGGAACAAAGCACCGGAAACGATGCTGAAACCGGTGCATTTTATTTGCGTTAGGTAAAACCCGGGAAACAGGGAGAGATACGGACAGAGAATTCACAACGATGCACGCGATAACTCATATTCGTGTCCCTCGTGGTTCCATTAAATTCGATCGTTCGGAACTTTAATGGAACGCAAACTTCAGCGTTCATCGATCTACGAGTCCGGTCAAGTTTAAGGATGTATAGGCTATATACTTAAGGATGTATTGGCTATACAGTCAATCCCAAAAGTTTATGTACTTTAGAAAAACGCACTTCCTATAATTAAAAAGAAATCAGACGTCGGAAGAACAATGCTAATAATAAATAGCTACGTGCTAAAAAGTATAGAAGGAAATATCCAATTAATTAGTTCGTTCATCGCTAATTATTCTTTAACGAGTGGAGTTATAAGGAAA